TCACTTGGACAAGCACGCCCTTTTCATTAAGAATCCTTCCGTTCAAAGACTTCAAAGAAGAGGAGGAGCACACCAATGAAGGGAGGTCAATGGCCCAAGTGACTTCGCCTATATGATAAGCATGAAATGTGTATTTATAAGAGTGGTATTCGTTCGAAGGGATCACGCTCCCGATTTAGCGCCTCTTGGCGCTGCGCCATGTGCAGAAGTAGAAGGAATTCTGGTATTCATCGTGTCATATTTAGGTAGCTCTGGGTATCACTATTGGCTGGATATTCTTCTGCTCGGCGTTGTTTCGTCTGTGGGAGGATTGGACATACGCTGAAAGTTGCTATTTTATGTTTATCAGTTTATCAACTATAGGTCTAGGTGATATATCGGTAGCAAGGAGAGAGTAAGTTAATAAATTCATGTTGATTTTTTGCCTAATTTATTTTCGGGTACTGGTTGATATTTTTTTCGGGTACTGGTTGATATTATACGCCCTAATCCGCTGCGGATGCTGGGGCGTGTCGGAGGGAGGGAGGGGGAGGGGACCGGATTTTGGACGGCGCTATCAACTGCTAAAGCGGGCAAGCCGCGTCATACCCAGTTCGAGCATCCGCACCGAACAATACTCTATATCGTTTCCCTGTAGAGCAGCAAGCGATATGCACCCGTTACTATTATGTCGGGTCGCGCGCGGAAAGAAGTACCGTCCAGAACAAGCGGTTTTTAGAGGCGCGCAGCAGCGAAATCCGCCGCGCGGTCTAATCTGGCCGCAACCTGACCTAATGGTACGCATACGGATTTCAGCCTAGATTTTCGAAGTTAAAGCTTCTTCTCTCTCTTGTCCTTGTTATTTTGTAGCGCCATGCTACGGCAAGTTGTATTGTGCCTTTACCTGAGCGAAATTCATTTTCAGTATGATGGTCCTGTGTTTTGTCTTTGTGATAATTGGACTTTCATTGGTCAGTATGAGCATCAACGTTGTACAGGTGGGTTACGATTTTTTGAAACTGCCGAGCATTGGATTTGGGAGGGTATTGAACCCTGAACAGATAGAGCTTTGGTACCTTGTTGTCAAAGGGCAGTCATCCACGAAAATAGATTGCGTGCTCGATGCTCTCACGCGCTCACCATACCTATTTTGTTTGCACCAGGGTACAGCATGGGGATGTGTCAAATGGCGGTGTGGGTACGACCCCCCCCTCGAAGAGGGTCCAGATACGACCCCCCCCCTGCTCTAACTGACAACCAGATGCATGTTCACCAC